CATCTCATGGGGCCCCCTACTGACCCCGGGCCCACGGGCAGTGCCCGAGTTTTCAAATGGTCAGTCCGCCCCTGGTGGATCCAGCCATACTTGCCAACATTATAGTCCCATCTTGGGTTTACTCCACCCCCAGTGAGCCTCAGGCTCACCCAGTCACCAGGTAGCCCCATTCAGCCCCTGTCAACGTATTGGAGTAGCCCACCCAAGCCTCCACCTGTAAATTTGCTGGGACCAGGGGCGGACTGACCATTTGGAAACTCGAGCACTGCCCGAGGGCCCGGGGTCAGTAGGGGGCCCCATGAGATGCCTGGTACCTTTTTCATAGGCTTTTTTGAGTTTGGGCAAGGACACAGGGGCCCCATGATCCCCTATTGCCCGGGGGCCCCATGAGTTGTCAGTCTGCCCCTGGCTGGGACCACCCACACCATAACGAATGCTCCACTGTGTTACTGCACATTGTAGCTTAAATAAGGGTGGCACTGTGATCCCGGGACATAGCCCGGGACACACCATCCATGAGACTGAGGTCCAAGATGCGGGACTGTTCTGGAAAATCTAGGACAGTTTCCATCTATCGACCAAGCAACTTTCCTACCCTACGTCCCTCCATGTGATATGACATTAACTGCTGCCTCCATTTCTTGTATAAGTGTTGGAGGAACACAAAGTGATAGAATATCTTCCCGATGGAATCACAGTAGCACAAGGAGACAATCCGTTGTTCTTTGGTTCTCATGTGCTAACAAGGAGACATCTTGATAGGAGGAGAGAGCATACAGATGAGATTGTCAGACTGCTGCTTCTCCTTTGAGTTACTGCACAAGTACAGAAACTCACACAAAGGTGCAGTGTGATCCCAGGACATAGCCCAGGACTCAGCATTGTCAGGACTGAGGTCCAGGATGTGGGATTGTCCTGGAATATCTGGGACAGTTACCATCTATTGATCCTGCAATTCAGACTAAACAACTTCCCTACCCTTCATCACCCCATGTGATATGCAGGGGCGGACTGACCATTTGAGCACTCGGGCACTGCCCGTGGGCCCGGGGTCAGTAGGTGCCCCATGAGATGCCCCTGGTACCTTTGATAGGCTTTTTTGGGTGTGGTTTGAGTGTGGGCAAGGACACAGGGGCCCCATGATCCCCTATTGCCCGGGGGCCCAATGAGTTGGCAGTCCACCCCTAGTGATATGACATCGACTGCTCCCTCCATTTCCTGTATAGGTGTCAGAGGAACAGGAAGCAAGTGAAAATCTTCCCGATGGAGTCACAGTACCTACATTTGACTTGGTATCAGTCCCTGTACAGCAGAGCTCAGACTGGGGAAGGAATAAGTAGCACAAGGGACCAGTCTGTTGCTCTGTAGTGCTCATGTGTTAACAAGGAGACATACTGATTGGAGGAGAAATTAGAGAGACAAGCTCATCAGTATGCTGTATCTCCTTTCACTGTCCAATTACAGGCTAGGGGAGGGACAAGCAGGGCTGCTGTTAGAAACCACGGGGCCCCATACAGCCAACTTGACAGGGCCCTTCAAAGAAAACTTTGCTTTGTTTACTATGCTTCAGTTATGAATAATCACAGTGAGTGATCAGTACAGATCACTCATTGTGTTCATTTAGAAAAAAAAAGGGGCATGTAAATGTGAGGAGGGAACTTGGCAGCACTGGGGGGGGGGGGGGGGGGCACAGGGGGAAATGTATGGTGCACAGGGAGGTTGATGAGTGTGCCAGGGCAATTACTAGAAACAATCCCCTGTATGGCTCTCTCTGCAGCAGCTGAAAGCCAGCAGGAGGGAGTGGAGAAGAGGTGCAGGGAAAGCCATACAGGGGATTGGTTGCAGTAATTGCCCCCTCCCCCACCGTGCCAATTACCCTCCCTGCCTACATCCAATTCACCCAGTTGCCTGGGCCCCCCCTGCTGGCCTGGGCCCTGTACAGGAGAACTGGTGGTACCCCCTTATCCACACCCCTGGGGACAAGACCTGTAAGTGTTAATGAACTGGAGTATTTATTTCAGGTACTTATATAGTGCTGTCAATTTACACAGCACTTTACATATATATTGTGCATTCACATTGGTCCCTAACCCTCAAGGGGTGTACAATCTAAGGTCCCATGTATACAAATATTAGGGTCAACTTAGGATCCAAATAACCTACCAGCATATCCTTGAAGGGTGGGAGGAAACCTATGCAGGTACAGGGAGAATATGCAAACTCCAAGCAGGTAGTGCTGTGATTGGGATTCAAACCCATGACCCTAGTGCTGTTAGACAGAAGTGCTAACCACTTAGCCACTGTTCTGCTCAGTAACAAAAAAGCAGATTGCTTGCCCTGCCAAGCAAGGCTGTGCTGTGTAGCAGTGCTGTAAATCATAGGACTGGATGAACAGAAGTATAAATTAATACTAAAGTACACATTCTGTGTATTTAGCAGCTTGCCTAGAGTTCAGCTTTAGAAATTGTTTAACCAATTGTTTTCTTTTTTTTTTTTGAACCTACCTTTTGCAGAATGAGCAGTACACGAGAATCGTGGCTGACACCAGAACCACGTTAAGTAGCACCAACGCCAAGGAGAGAGTGCCATCTTTTCCACTTGTGTAATGCAGGAAATGGTCTGCAGAGGGAGCCATGGAACCACAGTCTGCACCTTTTCTGCAAAGCAGAGATGTGGATTGAATTAGTCCACATATTTACACCAACGCCAAATCAACAGAAGAAAACGTGTTACTTATTTCCCAGCCAAGTGTTTGAAATTATGCAAGGGTCTGTAATAGCTGCATCAGATGTATGCATAGCGTATGTACCACAAATATTGCCCATTGTTGCAACTATTAGTTTTATTATGGCGGGTGTTTTGATGTACATAGCAACAATTTCTTCATGGGAGGTATGACATCACACCATGTAATACAAATTCAGGGATAGGAATGAGCAAATCAGGCAAAGGAGGTTTGGCAAACGCAGGAGCACCCATCCAAAGCTCCAAGTCCCTTTGACATCTATGGTATGGGTAGTTGGGCACTGCCATGTGGGACATGTGCGAGACATATACTGATGAAAAAAAGTTAACCAAAAAAAATTCAACCGGTGGGTAGCTTGCCTTTTAATGCAGCTTAATGGACATTAAAAAACACACAATTCCTTTATATAACATTACCCAGGAAATCATCTGCTGCTACTCCCATCGCAAATGACAGATCCCTGCTGGCTTTGGTCAATGACATTACCCAGGAAATCATCTGCTGCTACTCCCATCGAAAATGACAGATCCCTGCTGGCTTTGGTCAATGACATTACCCAGAAACTCATCTGCTGCTACTCCCATCGCAAATGACAGATCCCTGCTGGCTTTGGTCAATATTACCCAGAAACTCATCTGCTGCTACTCCCATCACAAATGACAGATGCCTGCTGGCTTTGGTCAATGACATTACCCAGGAAATCATCTGCTGCTACTCCCATCGCAAATGACAGATCCCTGCTGGCTTTGGTCAATGACATTACCCAGAAACTCATCTGCTGCTACTCCCATCGCAAATGACAGATCCCTGCTGTCTTTGGTCAATGACATTACCCAGAAACTCATCTGCTGCTACTCCCCCATCGCAAATGACAGATCCCTACTGTCTTTGGTCAATGACATTACCCAGAAACCCATCTGCTGCTACTCCCATCACAAATGACAGATCCCTGCTGGTTTTGGTCAATGACATTACCCAGGAAATCTGCTGCTACTCCCATCGCAAATGACAGATCCCTGCTGGCTTTGGTCAATGACATTACCCAGAAACTCATCTGCTGCTACTCCCACCGCAAATGACAGATCCCTGCTGGCTTTGGTCAATGACATTACCCAGAAACTCATCTGCTGCTACTCCCACCGCAAATGACAGATCCCTGCTGGCTTTGGTCAATGACATTACCCAAGAAATAATCTGCTGCTACTCCCATCGAAAATGACAGATCCCTGCTGGCTTTGGTCAGTGACATTACCCAAGAAATAATCTGCTGCTACTCCCATCACAAATGACAGATCCCTGCTGGCTTTGGTCAATGAAACCCAGGAACTCTACCAACCTGTTTATGGGGAACTGTCCTTTTGGGGTAGTAGTGCTAACGCCGCTATATTACAGACTTTCCAGCTACATCAGCCAGAGCTTCAGCCAGGCTGTTTTTTCACCTGCTCACCAAACTGCAAACACACTGGGGTTTGGCCCAAACCACTGTTCAAGACAAATCTGAAGCTCATCCCCATTCATGGATCTGGGCCAAAAATTGATGTTTCAGTTTCTGGGAAATTATGGAAATTTGTGGTTTGATGGACTACTAGACCAAACAAGTTTGGATGGATAAAATGTATCTCGAGGCATAAAGTTTCTTTGTGTTGAAGTGAGGGATCAGAACATCTGTGATAGGGCTTTCCTGAGCAGGAACGGTGGTAGAATCTCTCCACTGGAGTCCTTGGATGCAGCAAAAAATGATCCCCCCCCTTGTGTTCAGTACTGCTGACAAACGCAATCCATTTAACCATCCTACATCCACATGGAACGCATGCATTTGGGGGGTCAGCAATCTGTGGGTTATAACAGGCAGTGAGGAGGTTACATATCCAGGAGCGGACTGACAACTCATGGGGCCCCCAGGCAATAGGGGATCATGGGGCCCCTGTGTCCTTGCCCAAACTCAAAAAAGCCTATGAAAAGGGTACCAGGGGCATCTCATAGGGCCCCCTACTGACCCCAGGCCCTCGGGCAGTGCCCGAGTTTCCAAATGGTCAGTCCACCCCTGTACATATTGTCTCTATATACACTATATTGCCAAAAGTATTGGCCCCGCCCTCCAAATCAAGTGATTCAGGTGTTCCAATCCCCTCCATGGACACAGGTGTATACAATCAAGCCCCTTAGGCATGCAGACTGCTTCTACAAACATTTGTGAAAGAATGGGTCGCTCTCAGGAGCTCAGTGACTCCAAGCGTGGTCCCGTGATAGGTTGTCCATCCGTGACATTTCCTGGCTACTAAATATTCCACGCTCAACTGTTAGTGGGATTAGAACAAAGTGGAAGCAACTGGGAACAACAGCAACTCAGCCACCAAGTGGTAGGCCACGTCACATGACAGGGCGGGGCCAGAGCATGCTGAAGCGCACAATGCGCAAAAGTCGCCAGCTGTCTGCAGAGTCAATAGCTAAAGACCTCCAAACTTTTTGTGGCCTTCAGAGTAGCCCAACAACAGTGTGTAGAGACCTTCATGGAATGGGTTTCCATGGCTGAGCAGCTGCATCCAAGCCTTACATCACCAAGTGCAATGCAAAGTGTCGGATGCAGAGGTGTAAAGCAAGCCGCCACTGGACTCTAGAGCTGTGGAGACGTGTTCTCTGGAGTGACCAATCACGCTTCTCTGTCTGGCAATCTGATGGACATGTCTGCGTTTGTCAGTTGCCAGGAGAACGGTACTTGTCTCACTGAACTGTGCCAAGTGTAAAGGTAGAGGAGGGATTATGGTGTGGGGGTATTTTCCAGGGGTTGGGCTTGGCCCCCTAGTTCCAGTGAAGGGAACTCTTAAGGCGTCAGCATACCAAGACATTTTGGACAATTTCATGCTCCCAACTTTGTGGGAACAGTTTGGGGATGGCCCCTTCCTGTTCCAACATGACTGCACACCAGTGTACAAAGCAAGATCCATAAAGACATGGATGAGCCAGTTTGGGGTGGAGGAACTTGACTGACCTGCACAGAGTCCTGACCTCAACCCCATAGAACACCTTTGGGATGAATTATAGTGCAGACTGCGAGCCAGGCCTCCTCCCCCGACATCAGTGCCTGACCTCACAAATGTACTTCTGAAAGAATGGTCAAACCTTCCCATAGACACCCTCCTAAACCTTGTGGACAGCCTTCCCAGAAGAGTTGAAGCTGTTATAGCTGCAAAGAGCGGGGCCAACTCAATATTGAACCCTACAGACTAAGACTGGGATGTACAAATAGTGGTGTTTATACTGGGATTCTTTTTTCTATCTTTAATTTTTACTAGTAATGGCGGCGATCAGCGACTTATAGCGGAACTGCAGTGGGCAATCTGACACTGGGGGGAACTGACTTGGTGTCACTGATATCCCCAGTGACACCAATACAGTGATCAGTGCTAATAAAAAGCACTGACACTGTACTAATGGCACTGGGCAGGAAGGGGTTAAGATCTGGGGGCGATCAAAGGGTTAACTGTGTGCTGTTTTGCACTATTGGGGCTGTGTGTGTTTTACTGTGTGCTGTGTGTATATTTTCACTGTAAGCACACTGCAGGGGTCAGGAGTATATAATAATGCTCAGGAATCACTGATTGGGCCCATCATGTTACAAAGTACAGGCAAAATTACCCTCTTTTCCCAGTGCAAATCACCCCCCCTGCACCAAGTCCATACCCCCCAAAGATCACCTCTCCATCCATAAATTCCCCCTCCAAGCCTACCCCCTCAGTACAGACCCCCGAACACAATCCCTCAGTAAAGATTGCCCTCCCAGTACAGACACAGGCCCCTCCAGCACAGACCCCTCAGTACAGACAGACCCCTCCAGCACAGACCCCTCAGTACAGACAGGACCCCTCCAGCACAGACCCCTCAGTACAGACAGACCCCTCCAGCACAGACCCCTCAGTACAGACAGGCCCCTCCAGCACAGACCCCTCAGTACAGACCCCTCAGTACAAACGGACCCTACAGCACAGACCCCTCAGTACAGATGGACGTCCCCCCCACCAGCACAGACCCCTCTGTACAGAAAAGTCAACCCAGCACAGACCCCTCAGTACAGAGGGGCCCCTCAGGTAGGAGCCCCCAGTACAGACAGACCCCCCAGTACAGACCCCTCAGTACAGAGGGGCCCCCCAGGTAAGAGCCCTCAGTACAGACAGGCCCCCCCAGTACAGACCCCTCAGTACAGAGGGGCCCCCCAGGTAAGAGCCCTCAGTACAGACAGGCCCCCCCAGCACAGACCACTCAGTACAGATGGCCCCCCCCCCCCCCCCCAGCACAGACTCCTCAGTACAGAGGAGCCTCCCAGTCAGATCCCTCAGTACAGATAGGCCACTCCACAGACCCCTCAGTACAGAGGGGCCCCTCAGCACAGACCACTCAGTACAGATGGGCCCCCCCCAGCACAGACTCCTCAGTACAGAGGAGCCTCCCAGGTCAGATCCCCTCAGTACAGATAGGCCACCCCACAGACCCCCCTCAGTACAGAGGGGCCCCTCAGCACAGACCCTCAGTACAGATGCCCCCCCAGGTCAGACCACTCCCAGTACAGATGCCCCCCCCCCCCAGGTCAGACCACTCAGTACAGATAGCCCCTCAAGTACAGTAAGAGCCCTCAGTACAGACAGGCCCCCCCAGTACAGACCCCTCAGTACAGAGGGGCCCCCAGGTAAGAGCCCTCAGTACAGACAGGCCCCCCCAGCACAGACCACTCAGTACAGATGGCCCCCCCCCCCAGCACAGACTCCTCAGTACAGAGGAGCCTCCCAGGTCAGATCCCTCAGTACAGATAGGCCACTCCACAGTACCCCTCAGTACAGAGGGGCCCCCAGCCCCCCCCACAGACCACTCAGTACAGATGAGCCCCCCCCAGCACAGACTCAGTACAGATGAGCCCCCCAGCACAGACTAGTACAGAGGGGCCCCCCATGTCAGAACCTTCAGTACATATAGGCCACAACAGCACAGACCACTCAGTACAGACAGCTCCCCCCCAGCACAGACCCCTCAGTACAGAGCTAGCCCCAGCACAGACCCCTCAGTACAGACAGACCCCTCCAACACAGACCCCTCCAGCACAGACCCCTCAGTACAGAGCTAGCCCAGCACAGACCCCTTCGTACAGACAGCCCCCCCCAGCACAGACCCCTCAGTACAGACAGACCCCTCCAGCACAGACCCCTCAGTACAGACTCCACCCAGCATTAACCAAAACCCTCCCACCTTCCCAGCATAGAACCCCCTCAAAACCCCCCTTCCCAGGCCACCACCTCAGTAGAGAACCCCCCCTCCCCCCGTGCACATAACCCTCAATACAGACACTTCCCATTTCCCTCCCCCCAGGACAGACCCTTCAGTAGTAGAACCCCCATTCCCCTCAGCACAGATGAGCTATATGAGGATTAACACCCTAAAACACATTCTGCTACTTGCCCTGAATATAGGGACATTTGAGAGACTTTTTGGCAGCCTAGCCACATACATGCCCCCAAAATCCAATGACCACCTTCAGGTTTTCAAAGGGCATAGTTCCTCATATCACTTCCTTACTACCTATCACAGTTTCGGAGGCCCTAACATGGCAGGATAGTACAAACAGCCCCCCAAATGACCCCTTTTTGGACAGTAGACACCCCAAAGGATTTGATAAGAGGCATGATGAGTATTTTTCAGATATCATTATTGTCACAGGATTCTGAAAAAGAAAAGAAAAAATACTTTTTTGTTTTCTTTCTTCATTTTCCAAAAAAACTTGTGGCAACAAATGAGATCTGCAAAATACTCACCAAGCCTCTTAGCAAACACCTTGGACTATCTACTGTCCAAAAATGGGTCATTTGAGGGAGAGGGGGGTGCTTCTACTATCCTGGCACTTCAGGGCAAACATTAGATTCTTATGCCACACATCATCCACTCTTCTAACCAGAACAAGCCTTTTCTGACACTTTTTGTTTACATGAAAAAACATTTTTTTTTGCTAGAAAATTACTTTTAACCCCCAAACATTGTTATTTTTTTTTAAAGCAATGGCCCTAGAGAATACAATGGTGGGTGTTGCAGTTTTTTATGTCACACAGTATTTGTGCAGTGATTTTTCAAACACAATTTAAAAAAAAAACCAAAACACTTTTTTTGGATCTTTAATGCACAAAAAGAAAATATATTGCCCAATTGTTTGATAAATTATAAAAGCTGATGTTACCCTGAGTAAATAGATACCAAACATGACATGCTTTAAAATTGTGCACACCCGTGCAACGGCGCCAATCTTCGTAAATTTTTTACATAGAAAGGTGAAGCTTTAAAAAGCCTTTACAGGTCACCACTTTATATTTACACAGGAAGTCTAGTGCTGGAATTACTGCCCTCAATCTCTGTTTACATTCCGATGTGGGACCGATGCTCGCTTTCACCTTTTTACACATGCGCAGTAACCTATAAATACCTATTAATGTTATATTCTGTGTATCCAAGAAAGAATCCAGGCCTTTTTAAAGCAATCCACTGAGCTGGCCAGAATCTACTCTTGAGGAAGTCTATTCCACATTTTCACGGCTCTTACTGTGAAGAAACCTTTCCATGTTTGGAGATTAAATTTCTTTTCCTCCAGACGTAAAGAGTGCCCCCTTGTCCTCTGTGATGACCTCAGGGTGAATAACTCTACACCGAGTTCACTATATGAACCACTGAGGTACAGTGGGGATCGAAAGTTTGGGCACCCCAGCTAAAAATTTGTATTAATGTGCATAAAGAAGCCAAGGAAAGATGGAAAAATCTCCAAAAGGCATCAGATTACAGATTATACATTCTTATAATATGTCAACAAAAAAGTTAGATTTTATTTCCATCATTTACACTTTCAAAATAAAGAAAACAAAAAAATGGCGTCTGCAAAAAGTTTGGGCACCCTGCAGAATTTATAGCATGCACTGCCCCCTTTGCAAAGCTGAGACCTGCCAGTGTCATGGATTGTTCTCAATCATCGTCTGGGAGACTAGGTGATGTCAATCTCAAAGGTTTTAAATGCCCAGACTCATCTGACCTTGCACCAACAATCAGCACCATGGGTTCTTCTAAGCAGTTGTCTAGAAAACTGAAACTGAAAATAGTTGACGCTCACAAAGCTGGAGAAGGCTATAAGAAGATAGCAAAGCGTTTTCAGATGTCAATATCCTCTGTTCGGAATGTAATTAAGAAATGGCAGTCATCAGGAACAGTGGAAGTTAAAGCAAGATCTGGAAGACCAAGAAAAACATCAGACAGAACAGCTCGCAGGATTGTGAGAAAAACAATTCAAAACCCACGTTTGACTGCACGATCCCTCCAGAAAGATCTGGCAGACACTGGAGTTGTGGTACACTATTCCACTATAAAGAGATACTTGTACAAATATGGTCTTCATGGAAGAGTCATCAGAAGAAAACCTCTTCTACGTCCTCACCACAAAAATCATCGTTAGAACTTTGCAAATGAATATATAGACAAGCCTGATGCATTTTGGAAACAAGTTCTGTGGACCGATGAGGTTAAAATTGAACTTTTTGGCCGGAATGAGCAAAGGTACGTTTGGAGAAGAAGGGGCACAGAATTTAATGAAAAGAACCTC